CATATCCCCGCACTGGGTGCACCTTCGGCTGTGCTCCCGTGCGTCCGCCCCCTGCAGTGAGCCCATCTGTCCTCCACCAGCCCCAACCCAGATGGGAGCAGGGACAGCCCAGCCCCAGCTCTCGCCCAGACTCGGCTCCCCGGACAGGTGAAGCGAAGGCAGAAGAGGTGCCTGTGGGTTTGCAGCACCGTAACCCAGAGCGTGATGTGATAACCTCCCCTGGATGGGGACCAGACCCACGGGGTGCTCAGGACCAGCCCTGATGCAAAGGGCATCCGGCACCAGCCCAGGACACCTCCTGCCAGTGTGACATTGCCTTGCCAGTGCAATGCTGCCATGTGTCAAGAGCCCCCGGAGGGAGCCTGGCCCCAGGGGTTTCTGGAGCAGAGACCCTGGAACAGCAGCAGTTACTCCTGAATCCCCTGGGATAAGCAGAGTTTGGCCCCATGGCTGCACTTGGAAGAGTCCCAGCAGAGAAAGGAGGATTTTCCTACAGACACCCGTTCACATCACCCCAGCAGGTGGGGGAAATGATTAATTCTGGACTGCGGCAGGAGCACACTCGCTGATCGTTCTCAAGATGATCCACAGGCATTACCCAGAACCTCCCCCCAGTGCAAAGCAGAGCAATATATAGGGGCAGAGCCGGGAAGCCCCAACCCCAACCACCTCCCCACACACTGCCCGAGCTCTGCAGGCGCCTGAGCTGAGCAGACCCTCAGCTTCCCAGCTGGGGCAGCCCCTCCTGCCCCGGCAAAGCGTTTCCTTCACCGGCTCAGCTGCATCAGCCGCCCCAAGCACAACCCATCTCTCCCTGCATCCCATGGCTCCCCGCAGAGCCCAGCACCTTATCCACCCAAACCCGGCTCTGCTCCACGGTTACCTCCAGGGCATGGTATATGGCTCGTCGGTAGGAAACCAGCTTATTAAACGTGGAAGAATTGAAATGCTGCCTAAAGGCCATCAGTCCCACCAGCTTGTCCGCAGAAACCTGGGAGAGAGCGACGAAAGCTTACCAACGGGCATGGGCATGCCTCGCGTCAGCCGTGTCCCCCACAGCTCTGTGCCCCCCTGTGCTGCGGACCCGTTTGCCAGCACAGCTCTCATGCCGCAGCCGAGGACGCTGGGCTGCAGCCATGCCGCGCTGCTGGGGCTTTGTCTGGACCATGCAGGCGGGTGAGGAAGCCCAGCGTCAGCTTCGCAGAGGGAGACAAGCGGCAGAGGGAGGAAAGCAGAGAGGCGGCAGCGTCGCACTCATGACTAACATGGGCGTTTTGCACCCTCTGCTGGCACTGCACCTCTGCTGGCACGGCCGGCACGGCACGGGCACCCGGCACAGCGATTCCCTCCCTCCTGCCCGCAGCCCAGGGGAGGTGAGGGATGGCCGAGGGGTGATGGGGCTCTGGGAGAGCATCCCTCACCAGGCAGGGAGCAACGGGTGCTGCCCTAGAGACCAGGGCTTGGACAAAACCCTGCAAAGGGGCTGGGCAGACGTCCCCGTCGCTGGATCCTGTCAATAACCTACGGTGGCCAGTCATTAGTTATAGACAGTGGAGCCACGAGAGCATGCCAGAGCTAAACACCGGGGTCCCTGCCCAGGGGGACTGCAGGTGGGCACACACACGTCAGAGGCAGCCCCAGGCATGGGACAGACAGCAGAAATGTGCAGGGGAGGCGATTTCAGCCTGGGCAAAGCCGGGCGTAGGCAGGGGCAGGCAGCAGGCTTACCTCGGAGAACTTCCCATCTCCAAACCACTGCACCCACCGCATGCCCGAGACAGCCTGGCGCTTGGCCGTGGCTCTGTAGGAGACGACGATTGCAGGCCACCAGGAGAAACCTTTGATCTTTCCCCAGACGAGCTCCCCAATTCCAAATTCCTTTCCATCCTGAAAGCAAAAGAGAGCAACACAGGTCAGCCAAAAGCACAAACTCACCATTTTATCTGGGCACCCGTGTGGGGGAACGGCCACGGGACGCCCTGCAGAGCTGCTACGCCATGCTTGTCTCTCACTGCAGTATGCGTGGACCTTTGTGCAATGATCTATAAAAACTGCAGCCCCTCCCTCAAGAAAAAAATGGCAGAACACATCCCTGGTAGCGCTGGCACTCAGCCCTGCGCCATACAGGAGCTCGGCGGGAAGGTCTGCGCGTTGGCAGCCCCACGCCAAGCCCGGCGGCTGGCACGCACAGCGCAGCGCGTGCTCCATCCTGCACAGCCCTCCTGGCACCGGCACCCCGTGCGTGCCCACTCCTGCCTGCCCTCCTGGGGTCTCTGCAAACACCGGGATGCCTTTTCCTGCCCTCACAAACCAGAAGCTCCGGCTGTCCCAGAAGGGCTTGCAGTAGCCCTGGTGATGGGAATGGGCAAGGCAGGAGGGCAGCAGCTCTGGGAGTGCAAATGGACTCTCTCCTGATGCCCTCGCCCATCGCAGCAACGTTTGTCCAGGAGAACTTGGCTCACTGCGCACTGCTGCCGAGCCACGAGGCACAGCCCGGGCTGAGGGACGCAGGAAGCACGGCAGGGGATGGTACGCGTCCTGCCTGGCTGCAGGGAGGAAGGGGATGGTACGTGTCCTGCCTGGCTGCAGGGAAGACTTTGCACCGAGGCTGCTCCCTGGGCTCCCCGAGCACATGACGTTGCTCCTTGGCACGAGGAAGCCCCCTTCACGGGGCTCACAGCTCAGCTCAGTCTCACTGCACCCCCAGGGAGAGGACACCTACCCTCCTCTTGCTCCCACAGGGGAGAGCGGAAAACAGGGCAGAGCAAAAACAGACAGAAAAAAAGGAAAAGTTGGGAATTTTGGCAGGACCATGCCAAGGGCCCCCAACAGGCAGCCTGATGGGGACCACGCGGGCATGGTGCTGTGCCCAGGGAGGCACCACGCACAGCAGCAGTCACCTCTGCTTGCAGAGTCCTCCTTCCCAGCTTTGTTCTGCAATTAGGCACCTAATTATGCAGCAAGATGCGATTGCCCAATTCCTACAAGTCTTGGGCCCTGCCCTGACGCCTGCAGGCACTGAATCACGCTCCTCTGCAGCTCCAGCGGCTTCGTTCCTCTCCAGCTTCCCCCGACAGAAACATTTTCTACACATGCAACTGCCTGTCTCGGCGGGGCCGGGCACGGCTGCCAGCCCGGCGTGTGCCGCGCACACGTCTCTCGGTGGCCCTTGGAGGCTTTGCAGCCCCCACGTGTGGCACAGGCAGGGGCTCGGCGCGGCTGGTCCCCACATGCCACCCGTCTGCAGCAAGGTGCCCCCGGAGCAGCACCAACCCCACAGCCTGATGGATGGGGACAGCCCGGCACCATCGCACTCTGGACACACAGGGAAGGGCAGGGAGGGAAGAGGAGGCAGGAGAAGCAGCAGTGAGGTTTCCAGAAGGTCCCCCTGCCTGCAGGCTTGGGACAAGCCAGAAAGGTTCATCCTCACCCCGCACCATCCCAGGTGCAGGATTCTGGTGCAGGAGCAGAGTTTGGCCCCTCCATACCTGGTACTCCAGTGACATCCCTCCTTCTCTGCTCTCCGGCTCCTCGGCCCCCATCTCGGCGGATCCATTCTGCCCCTCCTGGGAGCTGCTGCCGGAGAGCGTGCTGCTGCTCCGGGACGAGTCCCGGGAGTCCTCCTCTGTCAGGTCGATGGTGGTGACGGGGATGGACGTGGCCGAGCGCCGCTTGGAGCTCTGCGCAGAGGAGGGAGCAGAGTGTGAGTGCAGCAGGAAGGCGGGGAGAGGGGCAGGGGGGAGCAGAGACCTGCCCCATGTCACCCCCAAGCTCTCAGGGGGATCAGAGCAGGGCAGCCAGGGAGAGGGGCACCACCACAGCTGGGAACGGAGGGGAGGTCTCAGGACTGGGGCATCTGAGGGAGAACTGCTCTGCTTTTACTTGCAAGACACATAGAAAATGGTGCGCCACTTGCTCTCTTCCCTTCTCTCCCCAGTTCACCCCAGGGTGTTCAAAGCACCCAGTTCATAGCAGGGGCAAACAACAGCACACACGCACCCACTTCACAGGGGAAACTGAGGCACAGAGAGGCTGCAACGTGTCTGAAGCCACTTGGCCAGGGCACAGCAGAAGTGTAGGTCTCCAGAGCCCCAGGGAAGCCCTGGCCCCACGTAGACCCTCACCCGCAGGGGAGCTGGCAGATCCCTGAGAGTCTCCACGCTGTTCGTTTCCTTGATTTTCATCTCGTGCCGGGTCTGCCCTGCCTGGAAGATGAGGCGGACGGGGGGCTTCTGCCTGAGGCTGCTCTCCCAACCGGCGCTGCCCCGGGGCCGCACCTGCAACCAGAACAGAGACGTGCCATGGCACAGACACCTTCCCCACACCAGAGGCCACGTGGGGGGCAGGGACAGCCCAGCGGCACCGGATCCTGGGGGATCGGGGCACAGGGAAGGCAAGAGGAGGGCGGATGACTGTGGGAGGCACCTCGGGCTGAGCCCCTTGGTGCCACCGTGCACTTCACAGCATCTTTGCCAGGCTGCAGCCGTGCTCAGCACCTCCCATTGCTGCAGCCCCCAGCACCCTGCACTGGGGGCAGCGGCCCACCAGCAGTTGCTTACAACAACTTTTGTTTCTAGCTTTCATGTGCATCCTCTACTATATCCTCCCTAGACGCTCCCTCCTCGCAGCTACAGCCATGGCGGTGCGACCGAGATCGGCAGGAGCCAGCAGCCAGGAGGACCGGCCACTGGGAGAGCCACCAGCACGGCACGGCACCCCGCTCACGCAGGCGTGGGTGCTCTCACACATGTGTGGGTGCATTCCCCTCCGCAGCCCAGCCCTACAGAGGCACCCAGGGCAGCCTTTCCCCTGCGGCTTCAGCACCCGCAGTTTACAATCAGTCTAACCCAGGCGTGTTTCCTGCATCCGGCGTAACAGTTTCAAAATGAAATGAGATTTTGCAAGCAAAGAAGAGCCCCCGAACCCGCCATAGTGGGAAAGCAGAATTTTTCACCCCAGTTGGATTTATGGCTCTTTCTTTTGGAAGCTGCCTCATCACAGGCAGATCTCCAACCTTGGGGTTTTATTTCAAAGTCAAAACAATAAAGCCAGAAGGCGAAAATGCTTCCACACCCTGGAGGTTTGTCAACCTAGTCAACAAAAGGAGGGGGGGGCAAAACTGGGATCCATCCCCAGAGCAGCTAACAGCAGGCCACCCTGAGAGTGGGAGACATGAGATGATTCAGTCCATCAATACAGCCAAGACTTTTTAAAGAAAATATCAGCATAATAATTATTAGACTGCTGCAACACGTAGTGGGCATCACCGCATCACGCACCATACCCTCCTGCTGCTGCTGACATAATGTAAATCAGGAATTTAAAAATTAAAACATTATGCTTGTAAATGAATATTGCATCTGTCACTGGACTGTTCCCCCAGCAGCGAGCGCAAGAGCCACCCCAGAGGGGAACAGGCGAGGAGAGCCCTGGGCACCAGCCGCCCCCCACAGACAGCCCACAAAGCCCCCAGGCAGAAAGGTCTTACAGCAGCCTTGGTGAGCACTTACCTCCTGTGTCCCTGTGAGAGTGAGTGGCCAGGACAGGTCATCCTTGGAGAGTTCTCCTTTGCTCACCCTCTTGTTCTTCAGGGATGGCAGCCCCAGGCCCCCAGCATCTGCGCAGGGACAAGGCAGAGCAGCCTCAGGCTCCGTGAGCCGTCCTGGCCGTGCCCCTGCACGCCTCTGCCCGCCACTGCTCCGAGCAGCAAGGTGTGATTTGAAGAGACCGAAACCTCGTCTTGGAGAAATGTGGCCAAGAGCAGAAGACAACCGGTGCCCCCGAGGCTCCCCATTGCAGTACTTGCACTGGCAGTCCCAGATCACCCACTTGCCCCAAAACTGGCATGGTCTCCAATAGCAAGTGTGGGGACCTTCTTGTGGATTTTTCTGTTCCTGAAAGCTCAGAGGCATAAGGAAACCATACTCCCACTATTCCAGGCTTGTCACCAGTTCATTTAAAGCAGGACCTCATGAACCCAAGAGATGGGATTTGGTCACTATGACCAGAGCATCCTTGGGGCTGTGATGCAGCTGGCAGCAATCCTTGGGCACATGGGGGCTCCCCATTTCCCTCCTCCCCAGCAGCGTTAAACCTTTAAGAGGCAGAGCCAGCATCCCAGTGTGGTACCCATTTCCACAATCACTTCTGTTGCCATGGCCTGGATGTGCCATTGAAAAGCAGAAACCCAGCGGTGTCTCAGAGGGATCCTGGCCACAGCCATGATGCTGCAGCCCCCAGGAAGCCCTGGGGACGGTGACTGGGAGATCCCTGGCCCTGGTCATTCCTGAGCATCCCAGGCATGGTGCATCCTGGGCACGGAGTGGCAAGACTCACCTGGAGCACTGGGCTTTCCATTCGCCTCCAGAACAAGGGCAGGGGTGTCATTAGCGGGGTCGGTGCAATCCCCATTGATGAGGATCAGCTCTGCCCTGCAGTCTGCCTCATCCCGGCCGTGGCTCTTGTCCTTTTTCATGGTTGCCTGTGGAAGCCAGAGTGGAAAGGAAATTTAGCCATGCAGAAAGCCCCAGGGAAGGTAAAGGGGACAGCATAAGCTTTTCAAGCCAGCCACAACTTCTCATGCCCTTAGCAAAGGGGTCTGACTGGAGAGACGTGTTTCGAGTGGTACTGGGAGCCAACGGGCACCTGGACAAAACCTCCCCACAAACACGGTGGCCCTGAAGATCGCCCAGCTCCAGCAGAGGCCGCAGATGCAACCTGCTTGTCCTCAGGGAAGTGCCGGGACTTTTCTCTGGGGCTGCGCTGGCCCAGCCCTGCCATCCGTACGCCACGGATCGCTCCCGAGCTCGGTGCTGCCCAGCCCAGGCTACCCCTGCTGAAGCGCTCCCGGCCATGGCTCCAGACCCTGTCTGGAGGGGAACTGCATTTCCCAGCCACCTTGCAGAAACCAGGGGACATCCCACCCACCCCGGTCACCAGTTTCACTGTGCTCCGGCTGCTCAGCACACCCAGGAAACCCAGCACGCCCAGCACACCCAGCATGCCCAGCAGGGGGTGGGCTGTTACAGCACCAGCAGGACACGGCAGACAAGTCGCCACGGGGGGGCAAAGTCCTGGCGCCTGCAGCGAGTTAAAACTCTCCTAAAGGCAGAAAAATCCTCCTGGCCGCCCCCCACCCCCATCCCCAACTCCCCGGCCCCAGGGGGAAGGGCCGGGCAGGGGTCTGTGCTGGCTGCACTCATGCCCCACCGCCCCCTGCCCCAGGGGCCGGGGGAAGAGTGTGTCGACGTCCCCCCGCCCCAGCGTCCCCCCAACCCTGTGTCCCCCCGCTCCGGGAGCTGCTGCTGCGCAGCTGAAGCCCAGCCAGGCATCCCCCCAGGAGAGGTGGGGTACACCTCGCCTGCGCCCAGATGCTTCTGCCCTCCCTCGGGTGCACTCCCTGGATCCTCTTTTCGGAGGCGGAAGCTCCCAGGCTCTCCCAGAGGCACCCGGGACTCTGCTAACGAAGCTGCCTCACTGCTGGGCTATGGATCTGTGCTGCAACTTGCCCCTTCGCCAGCACAGTTATTTCAGGAGCACATAACTCAGCTCATCAAGTTAAGGAGCAAGCAGGGCTTTACCCACCCCTTTCCCTGTCTGGTAGCAAAAGGAACCCC